CTTAGTTTCTACAAGCCCTTAAGTCACATTGAGAAGATTTCCAAAAATCCCTTAATAAAAATTTACATATAACAATCCTGAAGGAATTATTTTACTTTATTGCGTGTTATAAACTGAATTGTGCCCCCTCCAAATTCTTATGTTGAAGCCCTCCCCCAACGTGACTATATTTGGAAATGGGGCTTGGAAGGAGGTAACTAAGGTTCAGTGAGGTCTATTAATCCAACAGACTGATGTTCTTAGAAGAGGAAAAGACCCGAGATCTGCCTCTCTCCACACACGTGCACAGAGAAAAGGACACACGAGGACCCAGAGAGAGGACAGTCGTCTGCAAACCAAAGAGAGCTCTCACCAGAAACCACCCCAGCTGGCACCTAGATCTTAAGACGTCCAGCCCCCCGAAACATGAGAAGATAAATTTGTTGTTTAAGCTACCCAGAATGTGCTATTTTGTTATGGCAGCCCAGGCCGACTAAGACACCATGACAATGTGATTTTTAACTCTTCATTTTGCCAATGGGATAGATTCGAGACTCAACCAAATTTTCACAACTGAGGCCAAGAGGAGATGTTACTGGCCACTAAATCCAATAGAGGTTAGAACTACCTAAATTTTTAAATGGGTCCATTAAATTCAGGCTTCAAAGGTGTGTCCTGTAAGTTATTCTGTATTGTAACCATACTAAAATCATCTATTATGAGTTGCTACCACCAAGGGCTTTACTTCTCGTTTCCTAATTGGTAGGTAGCCTCTCTGTCCCCACTCCCATAGGTAAGTGGTAGAAAGCCAGGGACACCCTCATACGGCCACCCCAGCGGAGAAGGAAGATGGCTGACGACAGTGACAGTGGGGACAGGGGCAAGAGGATCACTGAACACGTGCCAAGCACTTACCAGGTGTCAAGCAGACTTCTATTCATTACCTTTTTAAACCCTCAAATCAACCACTGTTATTATACTCACTCCAGCAAGACTTACAAGGTCGGACAATTTGCTCTCGGTCACAGGATCCAAACCCAAATACGAGGATTCCAGTGCCCATCTCTTATGCCACAATACTCAAAACTGAATGAGTTAAACTCAAATTGTGTTACTAAACCACAGCTTTTTTTGAAAAAAAAAAAAATCCCCAATAATGAATCTGAAGTGTATGTCTAATTTCTTACTCAATTAAACCAGTGCAAAATCAGATCTCACTTGATTCAGCTGGACTATTATACCACCAAGGGAGACCATTTCACTCTCTCCCAAGGTTAGGTGAAAATGCAGCATCTAAATGAATAACTGAAATATTTCACATGATATGGCTAGGCTGTTTTTATTTGACCAGGAATTTCTCCCAACTTTCGAGGAGCATTTCACCCATACTACCTTGGAAGGCAGTGTAGCAACATGGCTAATAACATGGACGCTAAAGCCACATGGTCTGGGTTTGAGTTTGGGCTCTGCCTAGCAGTGTAGTCTTGGGCAAGTTAACCAACTTCTTTGAGCCTTCCTCTAAAATGAGGATACGATAATATCTACTTCCAGGATTGCTGACAGGATTAAATGAGTTGATGAATATGAAGTGCTTAATGCTGCCCCTGACAAAATACGTGTGCAGTCACTGTTCCCCACTGTTAATATTAGGATTAGAAGCTGAAGTAACAAGCTGCACAGTCATTCTCCACGTGACCCTTGCAGGGAGGTTTACAACAGAGGAAGTGGAACTCCCCAACCAGCCTTTAGCCCTGTGATGGAATTCTCTGGTCCTCCACATTCTCCAGCCCTGACAGAGTATAATCTTTCTGTGAAGTATCCAGCTCACTTCTGCTTTTAGTAGGACATATTTCACAGTGTAACAGTTCAAAGAAACTTCACAAATCCCACCTCAAGGTTTATGCTCTCATTCACTAATGCCATCTCCACCTCTCCTGGGTGCATATGTTTTGATGTGTCTTTATGTGTATGCTCTAGTCACTGCTGATACAAAAAAGCTGGGCAACAAGAAGAACATGCCTAGAGACCAATGGAACGAGGGTTCACCCCCAAATAAAAAATGGCAACGTATAATAGAGAAGGATTACTATATTATAGTAAAATTTGTGAGGAGTCAAATGGGGACCAGAACTTTGTCTTTTCTGTCTATTAACAACAACAACATAAGAGTTTACTAAGTAGACTAATATTAGAAACAAGCTTGAGGGATGAACAGATCAATGATTACTTCTCTTCAGAGAACACATGACTCTGAAGAGCAGCAACTGGATGCATGAAAACACTGGACTCCTATTATAAAACCGAGCTAAAGTTCTACATTGAAAAAATAGACAACTACTACCTGATCATTCTTCTTAGTGGCGCATTCAAGCTGCTGCTTCTGGTTGAAAGTTGCACAACCACTTTTTAAAGCTATCTTTTCATAACTCAGAATTATCATTAGACAGCTCCTCTCCCCTTCGCTGGCATTCTCCATCTCAATGGCCACCCCAACTCAGGCCCTCAGTTCATTCCTTGCATCTGAATGAACCCAGGTTTTCTCGCCCCATGAGCTCCTTCCTCCAGGGCATCCTGCATAGCACTGCCAGCCCTGCCTTCCTGCACCTGTGATGTAACTGCTCTGAGCCCCAGTCCTTGCTTCACCTGCCCCATCATGCACGTGCACACGCACTGATTCCAGGGGGAAATTTTCAATCCTCGAGCCTTGGACTGAGTTCCACGATGCCCCTTTCCAAGCTCATTTTCTCCCACTTCCCTGCAAGAATGTTCGCCTTTAGCCAGACTGATGGCTTCTCGCCGGGCTTCCTGCTTCCACTCCTTCACTCACAACATCTTCAGACCCAAGAATGTCTATCAAATACCCAGTGACTGGCACCCTCCCCACCCTTCACGCCAGCTCACACACCACCTTCTCCCCTAGGCCGTGGAGGACTCATTGCAGAGGAAGCAAACTTTCTTTCTCCATGTAGCTGGGACTCAGCACACACTATCCCAGGCCTCAGAAAGAACATCGCTTTGTGGGAAGCGCCTCAAGGACAAGCATCGTGGCATTCCTAGAGGGACCTGCTGCAGCTTCTCAAACAGAGCACTCACTCAGCAACGATCTACTGAATTCAACCACCGTGCTCTGGCCAGTCCCTGGAGACCAGCGCTCTGGGCACAGAGACTAACTCATGTGACTGCTGAAAGATAAAACATACCCCATACGGTAAGGAATTGTTCTGGTTTAGTGTATAATAAGTGTTAACTAATTCAGGGTTCTGCTGAAATATTTTTACCTTTTAATTGATAGAACATCAATGGGAAATTGAAAAAGGCAAGCTATGTCTCAAAACGTTACCTAATTGAGTCTTACATACAGTCAAAAGTCAAAGTTTTTAAGGAGATGACACATTCCAGTAAAAAGGAAACACTTCTAGTTATTCTATGTAACATTTTAAGGAGCTGTCAGCTATATGTCTCTTGCCCTAATTTTAAATATGACTTAAAAGGAAACTATATAACTATATGTAAGGTAAGGAATCAGTAGTGCAAATATTAAAAAAAGTCTCCTGTTTTATTTAAGTACCATTGACACTGTCATACTAACAAGGTGTCTATCAGGAACAGCACAGAAAGAACAAACTAGATTATAGATTAAAAAACACGTCAATTATTTCATGACCAAACGTCAAACAGAAAAACTGCCTGAATGTCTCAGAAGTCTATCACATCATACCACATTTGGTATACATCTAATGGCAGAGAAATCATTTATCATTAAAGGCCTTTTTATATAGGTCAGGGTTGCTGGGGCTTGGTGTTTTGTATCTTACAGTTTAAAGAACGCTCTAAAGTTCTAGGTTTTTTAACTTTTTAATCTCTGGGAAGGAAAACTAAAACTTCCTATAAACTCAGATTAATGCCTGTTAATGCACGGAAAAAAGAAAAACTAAAACCTTGCTCCTACTATAAAAACAAAATAGTGTGGCCTCTGTTTCTTTTCTGATAAGAGTCTTAAATACCAAACAGTTAACTGCATAATAACATTTACTGGCAGCCCGGCAGCCTGCTTAGCAGATATATAAAACAGGTAAAAGGAGAAAAAGTTAATTTCTTGGCTGAATGATTCCATCGGTAGCTATAGGGCAAACCTGAAAGTCTTTTAGTAAAGTAGCAGTTGATTCTTCTATCAATCTGTAGCACACATACTCTTCCAAGGAAAGCATTAAATATGAAAATCATATCCCGTTATCATCTGTTTCCAGCTTTCAGCCCAGTAAGCTTTTCTTAATGAATGCTGCAGCCTAAGGAGGAAGCACGCTGTTGGCTTCTCTGAATAATGGAGTGATGCTCCCATTTTTGCTTATTACAATATCGACTGGCTGAGGGGGTTTCACACATAGTCACAAGTGACTACTCTTGCCAGCATGCTCCAAGTTATTACAAGATGTTTTTAGACATTTCATCTAAAAGAGCTTTCCTGCTTTTAGTGAAGAAAACATCTATGGTCTTGAGCAGCATCATTTATATGGAGATAGGCGGGAGGATTAGAAGCCTGCATTACGGCAGATACATAGCAGAATTTATTTAAGTATTCCTTGCCATTCATTTTGTCTGTTGCTGAGATATGCAATCCTTTCTTTCCACTTTATCTATGAAAAGGTTAAAATGTACAAAATTACGTATACAAAGGAAAGAAGCAAAATGCCACATTTCATTTACTTCTCATTTAAAACATTTCTGGAACTAAGAAAAAGGCAGCTACAAAGCATTATTTAGAAAAACAAAATTTCACCTACTAACAACACTGAGGTTTTCTTTGGAATCTATCTCTTACAGCCACAGTGACTGCCTTTCAGCAAATTTAATTGAATTATACATTAAAGCAATACTCTATAAGCAAATGTCTTTAAATAATCACTTAAAGTTTAATCAAAAAGATCTTTGTAATAAGACGATTTTATTTACAACAGTATCCTAAAAGATGAACACGCCAAAAATCCTCCGTTAACAGAAAGTTTATCATTTTAATTTATTACCTTTTCTCTGTCTTCATCTTTCAGTTCACCTTTTTTTCCCAGGCTATCTTTTGAGAGTAGCCGCATCTTCTTAATTTGAGTCTCATATTCAATCTAAATATAAACAAAGTTTGATTTTGTGGAGGATATTACGACAACTAGCACCTATTTATATTTTTCAGACTTTACAGCATAAAAGGAACAGTAAAGAGAAAGTAAAAACTGATACTGCTGAGAAATTCAATTTATCTTAGAAAACAGACAATTTCACAAATAACACATCAAAAGCTGAATTCTATAACATGTTACATGTTTTAAATAAAATAACATTTGATGGATTTTCACTTAGTCCTTCATCAATCTAGGAAATAAAACCTTGATATATTAAGCTATCATGAAAAATCCAGTTACTTTTTCATGAAAGTTACACATTTGACGGTGCTTCTTCTGAAAAGTTCTGCCCTAAAAAAAGGAAGAGAAAGCAATCCTACTGATTTCTTATCTGTATGGTATCCACATAATATCATGGTCCTACTTGTCATAGCAACTGAGTATATTATTTGCTAGATCATCAACTGGAAACAAACTCCATTTTTTTTTTCCGGTACGCGGGTCTCTCAGTGTTGTGGCCTCTCCCGTTGTGGAGCACAGGCTCCAGACGTGCAGGCTCGGCGGCCATGGCTCATGGGCCTAGCTGCTCCGCGGCATGTGGGATCTTCCCGGACCAGGGCACGAACCCGTGTCCCCTGCAAACTCCATTTTTTATGGATACAAATACACTGTAGATGTCAATGATCAGTACCACAGGCATCAAGTTTGCTCTCATGCTAATAACTCATAAAGATGTCTGTGTCATTACCACACTATAATTGATGAAAGTGATTCCATCATAAAACGACTTTTTCTTAAAAGCAACGCATAAAAAGCACTTTGATTCATATGTTACTAAGTAAAGCCTTAAAAAGTCTCTGCTTGTGGTCCATCACAGATAAGTATCAGAACATTTTCTAAATGAGGCAGTGATGTACTGCAATTGGAAACACACCTATAAGATAACCAAATTAGAAAACTGTTTTCTTAGTTCTCAGTCTGAAGATAAAATAGGCCCAAACTTTTGTTTTGACACACAAGAAGTGAACAGACAATAACCAAAATTGACTTGTCTCCCTCAAACTATCTTAAAAGGTATTATATGCTGCCCCATTTTTAATATGTTAAGCAGGGATTTCTTTTTTCTCTATCAGAATGCTATTAACACAGTAGATTGGCAGTAATGATATAAATAGAGACCTAATTAAATCAACGTTTCATAAGGCCAGTAAAAATGGCAAAACAAGCCAAGAAAAGATAAAGAAAGAAGGCAATTAAGAAAATACAATTTACATCTCTCTGTGCTATATCTACTCCTTTGAACTCAACAGATATTTAATTTTTAACCCCAAGAGCTTTATACAGGCACACTCTACAGATTCCAAGAGAAAATACCTTTAAAAAGAGATGAGGGGTGATGTACAAAATAGACAAACAAAGTAAACAGAGGTTTATTAAATAATAAACCTTAAACAAAAATTCTTTGTTCCTGTGGCTACAAATGTTTTCTTATGCTCTTTGAGATCAGTTATAAACATGCAACAGGCATTGTACCTGATTTCCTCATTATGGGATCATTTCAGAGCCACAACTCCAAAAGACAGAGCACTTTCTCATGGAAATATAAGAGTATTATTCAATTCATTTTACTGAAGCAAAAAAGTGCTAACTGCTTCAGGACTTCATAAAGAACAGCAGGGAAACTATCTTCAAGGGTCCAATGCAGGGTGACCTCCCTGGTGATCCAGTGGTTGAGAATCTGTCTTGCAATACAGGGGATGCTGGTTTGATCCCTGGTGGGGCTACTAAGATCCCATATGCCGCGGGGCAACTAAGCCTGAGCACCACAACTACTGAGCCCTCGCACTCTGAAGCCCGCATGCCACAGCTAGAGAGAAGCCCACTCACCGCAATGAAGAGCCACGTGCTGCAAAAAAAAAATTAAAAAAAAAAAAAAGTCCAATGCAGATTGTTCTCAATGCATATGAAACATCTGAACTGTAGCTACTCTTCCAAATTAATGATGCAAATAAACACTATACAATGTATTCGAAATTTTACAAGTTACTATGATAAACTGATAATCGACACAAACTGTAACTCTGCATGACCTAGGACCGTGGGTTTGCACCTACAACTGTCTTTGCTCTCCTTCTTTGCCTTTTATTTATACATACAGTACTTGGTTATTATACATCCAATCCACCTCCTGAACACTGGAGAGCAGGGACTCTCAACCCACAGGGCTCCCCATTTCTACTTCCTCCTTTATCTGCATTTAAACAAAGGGTTATACTATGTTTAAAAGGTTGTTTTTTTTTTTTTTTTAAAGTTTGGGAAACATTGCACAGATGAATCTCTCCAAGACTTTCCAGCTAAAAATGCCTGATGAAGCAGTAGAATATGTGTCCTCATGTACATCTATTTCTCTGACCATCAGTCTTTCACGTCTTATTCCCTATTTCGTCTCTGAATCAGGTCCCATGGGCCTCTTCTATCTCCACAATACAGGAGGGCTTGCACTGCATCCTTTCTCTTGGGTGCAGACTGAGGTCCCTGTTCCCTTCTTGCCACGTGGCCTAGATTCCTCACAGTCAGAGCTGCTGCTTCAGAGGCCAAACGACTCACGCCTCAGTAGCATCTGCTGGCCTAGAGCCTCTCTAAGGACAATCCTCTCATCTCCCAATCAGGAACTTCCTGTCCTGTACTGCTTCACAGCACTGGATTTGCTGTTGCCCACCTAAATTTAGGAGGCCTTTCCTACTCACTTCCTTACTCTGCACAGGTGATTCATTTCAGCTCAACTAATGAAATCTGCTGACGGTAATCTGGGGTCGTGGGAAGAGGAGTTGGAGGTCCTGGCATGTCTGGGATCTCTCCATACTCACAATGTGCCCCAGTTTTCATTGTTTCCTTCTTTTCTCCTGTATTCTCACCTACATTCCTTCAGTTTTCCCTCGTCACATAACCACTTGCCTGAAAGTGCCACTATTACCTTTTTCATAAGCTTCCTTTTTTCACTGGTCTTTGAAATTGTACAGTAATTCTCAGCTGCAGAGCTGAATTGACATTGAAGATCAGCTGGCCTGGCCTCTGCACATTACAGTTGAAGGATGGCTACAGAGAGTTAAATAAACTAATGTGACTCTCAGATGAATATGAGAGATTCACAGTCTTTTTGTTTTTCCCTCTCCTATTTTTTTCCAGTATATGGGCTTCCTCCTAAATGTGGAACTTTTACCAAAAGATACGGAGGAATATTTATTTATTCAACTAGGACATATTAACAGGCAAAAAAATGGGGTTTGCTACAGACTTTGTCTTCAGGAGCCAGAAGGTCATGCTCTGCCCACAGTGGCTGTCACAGTGCTTAGCAGGAATTGTATGAGAGCTCAAAAGATTTGTTCTCTTCAAATTTTATGCCCTATAGGCACATGTAACCTGATGACTGAATTTTCAACAAGATCACATCTTTAAATAATGACATTATGTCTTCAAAATGCCTCTGCTATCAAACACAAATGCTCCTGGGTGGTTTGCCATGGATCCAATCACACACGTTCATCCTCACATAGTTGTTTACGGTCCATAAGAGAAAACAAGAATATGGAAGAATTACTTTTCAGTCAGTGCTTACTGAGCACTTACTATGTGCCACTGAGAGCACTGAAATAGTAAGACAAGGAACTCACGGTGAGGTGGGGAAAAAGACACGCAACAATGACAGTACCGTGAAGGAGGTGCTTATGTAGATCATATGACATAGACCTACAGCAGCATAGAGGGAGCAAGGTCTCCTCTATGTCCTCCGAGTCGAAGGACGTAGGACAGAGTGTGGCGCATTCAAGGAATTACAAACCATTCAGCACGTGTGTAGCAGAGAGTGCAGACGTGCATGTGTGGGAGATAAAGATGTGGAGGCATGGTGCGAAGACATGCGGTGGGAGAGAGAGGGGAAGACATGGAGGTGTGGAGGAGGGGAGGGGAGATGGCAGGAGGAAGACTGGGATAGGGGAGCAGGGGAGACAGGAGCGAGGGGTGGGGATGGAGGGAGAGGGTGGAAGGGGACAGGGTGGGGAGAGAAAATGTGCACATCCGTATAGCTGTGTGAGAGGGACAGAGAGAGAACAGAACTTGTGTGTGGTCAGAAGGCTGAAGCTGTGGGTAGTTGGCAGGCAGAGATCAGCGCCTGGGCTTTATCCCGAGAAGGCTGCGCACTCAAGGATTTCAGGCAGAGGGGAGACATGACCAGATGATGACCCGCTCCCGGCCAGGGACCCTCCCTGAGCCCTGACATGCCAGCCCCAAGCCCAGCACTTGAATGCAGGAGGCCAAAGCAGATGCTGGCAATGCTCCACACGTGGCCATGGGACCTTTCTCAGTGCTCCTAAGTTCCAGTACCCCTGTCTCTGTGCTTAAGGCCCCTCAGAGCCTGGGGAGGCTGCTCTGCCTACAGGAGCACACGGTTAATGAGCTCCCCACACCTGTGCCCTTCCCCCAGCAGTCCTCAATCAGTGATGCTCAGGAGCCCGGCTATGCATCTCCCAAATGCTCTGAACCATTTGGTGGAGTTCCCCTGCGGAATTAAGCTCCAGGTGCCGACTGTGGTAGTTGACTTAATACCCCCATCCGGCCACTTGTCCTTCGCTGTCTCAGCTCCCCACTTGCCTCCCGGCATCCTTGCACTTCCCAAATAAGCCACTTACATCCGAACCCTTGTCTCAGGGTCAGCTTCAGAGAAAAGCCAACCTGAGACAAGAGCAAAGGGCACCTGAGGAAAACTGCTCTAAGTACCAGCTGGGCCCTTCCACTAAAGCTGCCAAGGTGGGGAGTGTGAGGAGGGAGGGGAAACAGAGGTGAAGTGGGCGGGGTGGGGAGAGGCGGTGAGGGGGCAAGAAGAGGGAGAGAGGGGCATCCTCTTCACAGCACCGGTGATTCTCCTATTTATATTCGTGAACTGAGTTTATTCACCCTCTTTATCCATCTGACAAGTAGCAATATGGCCACAAAACTGTATTTACAAAACTACATGATATATCACTATCCTTATAAAGCCCTGAAAATTATTATAGGACCCCAAATAAAGTAGTATAATTCATAAAATCAGTTGAAATGGCTTTTCAAAAAGTTTTTCAGCCCATTTTAAAAGATTTTAACATTCTACAATTAAGTGGGCCTCGTCTTACAAAGAGGGAGAAATTCACTTAATATAATTTGGGCAAAATCCCCACTTCTCTCACAATGCTTCACCTTGTTTCACTTTCTGGACTTCCACCAGTTAGAAGTTCATTCACACTAACTATACTCTAGTCAAGGGAAAACGCCCCAGGCATTCTGGGGTGTGTGGCAAATACACCACGTAGGTGCTGACCAGAATACCTCTCTCCTAAGACTTCCATGAGCTGAAGATGTGACATGGGAGTGGGGTGGGATTAAGGGAGACAAGTGGCTCTGGTATTCCTAAGGCCACAACTGGCCGTGGCACAAAGGAAGAGGCAGGAAGAAACACGACGACCCCCACTGCTTGGACACTCCACTCACGGCACAGCTTGCTGAGTTGGTGGTGTCACCGGCATCACTGGCTGGTTCACAGCCAATGTACAGTTTTCCACAGAACACGTATGTTTCCCAACTGCAGCTACATGACCTGCCCTTTTATGCCATCAGCAGATTTTTTAAAAGGCATTCCTTCTCCAAAATTCAAAAAGGAATATCTGTGTCATTTTTAAATGATATTTATGAATAAAGCTTTACAGTTTATCTGTAAACCAGAAATACAGTTTATCATTCTTTTCTTGAAAATGGTCCCCTATGCTGATATTCTTTAGTAGCTCATGAGACAAGTTTTTTTTTTTTTTAACACATTATACTATACACAACAAATGCTCTCAATATTAAAATATTTACAAAGGATGATACTTCCTTTCAAATTCCTCCCTCTCACATTTGGTTATAATGAGAAATCAATAATTAAGTAAAGCATCAATATGAAAATAAGAGGAAAACTTCTATTATTTCCTTTATTCCACTGAGAAGAAGAAATTCCCTGCTTTGTCCACCACTTTTATTTTCTCTTTGAACTCTGAAAAGAAAAGAGGTTTACAATGTTGATAACAATTGCTTTTTGAGCCTTAAGCATTCTACTTGAACACTAGGAGGAAAAACCTGGAGTGCTGTAGCTAAGACTCACTATTGCTTGAGCACATCTAGCCTCCAGATCTTGGTTTCTAAATACCCCTTCCCACCCAAAGGAACCACAGCTCCTCAGATAAGAAGCTAATTCCAAGTCTGAGGCAGGGAAGTATAAGGTAAACCTGGAACATCTTGTCAAAAGGACACAGGAGCCAACTGGAAGAGACTCTCACTGGCAAAATTTGGGAGAATGTAAGCAACAAAAGAATAATTACAGTAATTGATAATACAATGACTAAATAAAGATTCACAAGCCCAGAGTGACATTTAGACAGAGAGAGGGAGAAAAAGAAGAACGCCAGCTAACAAATGTAAAAGACGAGATCAAATTAGAAAATCACCATTTCACAACCTCCACTATAACTGATTCAGGCATCATTAATGGATTCTAAAACCACTAGGCAAAAAAGGCTATTGAGGAACAAGGTATTCCCAAGATGTCAAGCCACCACTCCACAGATTATTTACTAATTTACAAAGGGAAAAAAGGTACCTTACAATAGAGAGGCCTAGAAGTCACCATGTTAACAAAGGCATCAAACTCAGCCTGGCTCAAACAAGACCACCTGACATCATGGCTCATGAGCCTCCTGACGGGATGCAGTAGAATGTATAACCTCAGCTGTGACTATTTAAATTTAATTAACTAAATTTAACACAAAAACTCAGTCCTCAGTGTCACAAGCTACATTTTAAGTGCTCAGGAGCCATGTACGGCTAGTGGCTACTGTATTAGATGGCATCAGTACCGAGACAGAAGGTTCCCATCACCACAAAGTTCTACTGGGCAGTGCTAGTCTAGAGACCAAATTTCCAGTTTACAGGAAACACAGGGGATGCTACACAAGTTAAAATAACCAGTCAAATTCAGAATGTAAGTCATTCTACAAGCAACTGGCCTGGCTTCTTCAAAAAGCCAGTATCATTTAAAAAAACAAAACAAAACAAAACAAGACTGGTAGGAAATCAAATTAGATTAAGAGACTAAAAAAGACACAATAACAAATGTAATGTGTACCCTAGTTGGCTCCTGGTCTGGAAAAACAGACTTCTGAAGGGAACTGTGGAAACTGAAATATTGGCTGAATACTAAATAATATTATGGAATCATTAGTAATTTTCTTTGGTGTGATAATGGTATGATTATGGAGGAGACTGTTCTTGTTCTTAAGGGATCCACACTCAAGTATTTAGGGGAGAAATGTCATGGGTTCTGCTGCATACTTTCAATGGCTCAGGAAAAAATATACATACACAGACACAGGCAAAGCAAATATAGCAAAATATTTACAACTGTTGCATCTGGTTAGATCATGAGCTGTCTTAGTCCATTTAGGCTGCTGTAATAAAACTGCACTGGCTGGGTGCCTTATAAACAACTGATACGTATTGCTCACAGTTGTGGAGGCTGGAAGTCCAAGATCAAGATGTCAGCACGGCTGCCTTCTGGAGACAGACCCCTCCTGGTTCAGAGCTACCACCTTCTCACTGTGTCCTCACCTGGTGGAAGGGGCCAGGAGTGCCCTGGAGCCTCTGTTACAAGGCACTAATCCTGCTCATGAGAGCTCCACCCTCGTGATTTAAGCACCTCTCAAAGGCCCCATCCACTAATAACATCACTTTTGGAGGTTAGGATTTCAACATATGAATTTGGGCAGGGAGACACAAACATTCAGACCACAGCATGAATGTTCATTATAATAATTCTTTTCCTGTGTACTTAAAATCTGTATTATACACGGCTAGGGGAAAACTGTGAGAGGAAAAAAAAGGAAGGGAAGTGCTGAAGCCAACTTCTCCGGTAACCAGTACGCAGGTGGGTTAAGTTGGGCAAAAGCCTTGAGCAGCACAAATGGTGAGAAACAAGGCCTAGCCCTCCATGCTTGACACAGTTTGTAGAGCAGAAGGTTGCCAGGCAGCCTAAGGGAGTGGGGGCCAGGGTCAGAGAGGGCAGGGAAGGCGTGGCTGTTCTGGCTCGCAGAGTCGACGGGCATGAGGGTGAAGTCCTTGGGCCAGTTCTTCCCCCCAGTCTCCCCCTGACACCCGGCCTGCCCAGAACAGTGGGGCTCAGGCCACAGAAAAAGAATCTCTGAAGAAGGAAGCAGGCTCCACAGGGAACCTGATGTTGCTCAAATTCAGTCCTGAGGCCAAGAGATCCCATGTGCCAGGCGCCAGGTCAGGTGTGGCCAGAGGCCGTGCCCGTTTAACTACCTGTGTAGAGTAACAAAGTATAGATGTTCCAGTAATTCCTCAACTAAAGTAGAAATCTGAGAAAATGCAATCTCCGGTTCTCTGATCAAAATCTGGTCACATGGTAAGTAATTCCCAGAGAAAACTGACAGTTAACTTACGGGTGAACAACTGAACATCAGTGACTGCCACGGACCAGAAACTTACTACTCACTAGTCCCAATCTTAGCTAAAAAGGACAAAAGAAAACAGTACAAAATGTCACCTTCAGTTCTTGCAGCTTCTCTGAACTTGTGGTAAAGTGTCCAACGTGAGCCTGGACCTGCTCAAGCCGCTTTAAATATTCTTGGTTTCGAGTACGAGCCTTCTTTTCTGATTCACATATCTCCTTCAGGTATTTCTTTAGTTTTAAATACTTCAGCTTAACTCTATAAGAATAAAAGCAGATTTTTAAACGATGGAGTTAGACTTGAACAACTCTAAGGAGGAGAATTTAACAAAATTGTTAATGAGACAATGTATTCTAAGATATTTTACCCAAACGCTGCAGCCTAAAGGATAGGATGCATGTGCATTTTTAGAGAAGAAATTAATGCAGCATCACTGAGGTATCACCTCTAGGCATAACTCTCCTGAGAAATGGATACCAGACCACATTACACCACTCACACATAAAGATTTATATGGATTTCTTTCTCAAAATTAAGTGTGGTGTCAAGAGCCGTGCCTAGGTGGCCCTTTTCAGATGAACAGCCCAATGGCATTCTTTTATGTGACAATTTCAAAACTACCTGCTCATACAGAAATAGAATCAAACTATGCACCACAATCCACAAACATTAAGAAATTTTGAAATTTAAAATGCCCCAAAAGTTCTCATTTAGGTATTTAAAATTTTTTTTAGAAACTGCAATAACATACTGTATTATGAAAATATTTTATAACAATATATGGATTGTCACTCTACTCAAATTGTGAAGAAACCTTTGGAGACTCTCACCCAAAAGACACAGCGGGCGGCTAGAACTGTGCAGCCCCTCTCCCCTCATTACCAACACTGCTCCTCTCAGCTCTTTCGTCTTCACAAGTATTTAAGTCATAAGAGCACCTGGTATGTAGCATTTCCACTGTTGGCTCAATTAATTATTCAACATTCTCTCATCAAGCGAAAATAAGTTGCAAACTACAAAAATGTTCACCCTCAAAATCAGATTTGCAGAGACGCTGGAGATGTTAAAAATTAAACAACAATAGACCTTAAACTCCCACCTCTAAGCCAATAATTTTCAAGAAACTCTTTATCGTGCTAATAATTCTGTGCTTTGATCTTGGTTGGCTGTCCCCATTTTTCCTTCTGAACAAAAAACTCAGGACTGGGTGTATTGCTGCCCATGCCTGCCGTTTTCGACACAAGTGACGGTAACAGAGGTGGAACCCGACATACTTTCCCACACAGGCACCTGGGGAGGCTGCTGGCTGCGACCAGAGTCCCCCTGGAGTAGGTACAATAGGAACCAAGCCTTCTCCACCCAAAGTCTAGCTTCACTCCTGCCCTCACGTTAACCCTCGAAGCTGACCGCATCAAATCATCCAGCCCTCCATGCAGTCATTCATACAGTCAGCACTCTGCATACAAAAGCCATGCAGCTTGGGACAACAGGGTAACAAAACTTAGATACACACAATATAGTGTGATGGCTGCTATGAGGGAAACGGCAAGGGACTCTTAAAGACTGGGCAATGTGACCTAGCTGAAGGGGCCCAGGAGGCCTTCCCAGTGGAAATTAATTTTCAGCTGAGATATGAAGGATGAATTAACAGTTAACCCAAAATTGGGGAAAGCAAGAGAGAGAAGATGAGGGGAAAACATTCCGGCAGAGGAAAGAGCATGTTGGAAAGCTCAGAGGCAATAAATAAGAGTAACAGTGATACTGACAAAAAATGGTCAGGAACAATAAATTATTGACTCTTACTCTGGGTCAGACCCTGCTTTAAGGCTCTATTAAGTTCTCATAACTATCTCCATCCCCATTTGACAGATGAAGAAACAGAGGCACAGAATACTGAAGTTACTGTCCCATGGTTGCCTGGCTAAGTGCTGGCAAGGCTGAGACTAAACAGAGGCACCTGGCAAGAAAGTCTACCTGCTTCACTATACAAGACCTTGTCACGTTCCAGAAACCGAGGATTCAGTCCATGAAGAATTTTAGGGAGAGGCTGGCAAGAGATAGTAATGATGGAAACTAAACCGGGACAGATAATAGAAGCTCTGGTATACCACCGCACCACCTCACCTCCTCCTGGCCTAGCTTTTCTTCCTGCAGCCACGGCTGCAGCAACCTGGCAGCACCTGCATCTGCCGCCCATGGTATCTTGCTTTCCCGGGGCTGCTTTTCTGAATTTGCAGCAGGGAAAGCCTGGAGGTGCGGAGGAGTTAACACCTCCTGAGATGGCCCTGACCAACGGGGGTCAGGAACCGAAAGGTAAAGAGCCCCCCTCTTCCTTCCCTTGAATGGATGCTTGGGAGGAGCAGAGAGATGGAGCCACAGGTGCCCACAGCAGTTACCAGCTCCTACTCCATTCTTCCCAGCCCTTTATGTGACCACTTCCTAAAATAAACGACCACCTACACACTAACCCTTGTCTCAGACTCTGCCTTCTGGGGGAATCAGGTTGAGGCAGCCATGTTAGATGGTTTGGATTTTATCCTATGGGCAAAGAAAGCATATTTTTAGTAAACCATACCCTCTGTCTTCCAGGAAACAAGAGGGTGAGAGAGGGGAACAAATTCAGCCAGCCGAAGCTTGGTGAAGATTCCCACTGGTCTCTCATCTCACCCAGCCTACCACCGTTATGCCGGAAAGCCACCTGGGAACAGGCTGTAGGAAGAGTCTATGCCCTGTCTTCTGTCCCTGTAGTCAGGGGCTAGAAATATGGCAACTGCCACGATCCTCTCAGACTTAGGGCCCACTTCTGAGGCCACGGCATCCACATCACTGCTATTTCTTCCACTGTCTTGCTGACTCTCCCTGTCTCTTTTGGAGCCGCTAGAAACACATGGCTGTCTACTCTGGTAGCTTTGGAAGTATGGACACTAAGCAAAGCGAAAGAATAATTTTGGAGATGAGGAAAAATGGACCTGATGGGTGCTTTGGTTTTAAAGTATTCTTGGTTTCTCTCTCTTCTGGATGAGATGTTTTCATTTCTCACTCGTGCTGTGAAGTGGATACGTCACAAACTTAACTCTATCACAGCCAGAAAACTTTCCTATGAGTAATATTGGAGGTTACACCATATATTTGGCTTAAGGATAAAGTTCAGTTTCCTTAAAATATAATTAAAAATATTAAGAGTTTGCTCTTAATGTTAGAGTAAGTAACCTAAAAAGGATAATATGTATATTATCCACTGCTCAGAATAATTTTAACAGTCATTGTCATACACCCATGAACAAATGAGACACCACGTAACCCTGCCTACAACAGTTTGTTGAAAGGTCAGCTGTAATAATTATGACTCAATCATTCACTGATTCAATGTGTTTAAATTGTGACCAAAAAGATAAGTAAGACTATAATGTGTCTTATTCTTAAGCTTTTTAAGCAAAAGATTCCTGAAATAACACAAATTATCAAATAATGAAAATACAATAATTTTTATCTTATACTTTCATCAAATTTATTCTTACACTTAATAGTGATTGTATTAAATTGCAGTGTTGACTTGAAACGATTACACATTAGAAATAAGGAACGGCAACAGGACTACAACTATGGTATTTGTAACATATTGATATTAGGGTTAAATTTTGATTAATATAGGCAAATTGGTTTTAAAACTTTGTCATATCTTACCTGCATGTATCAGATTGATTATATTCATAGAGTTTCCCTTCCAGGTCCAATCTCTTCTTTTCACTATAATACAGAAAGAATATATTTTATGAATAAATTACACTGATCGGTAACAGGCAGGCAGATCTAGAACACGATCTCCTTCGTGAGAATGCTTCTCTGGTCTCTCTGAGAAGCAGAAAATGCCAGCTGCATTTGGAACTCAAGACACAGAAGTACTTAGCAGTCACTAGGGAAGTCTAAAAGGCAAAAAGGACACCAATATGAAGCAAAAAGAACAAGATTCTCAAAGTAAATGGGGAAACGTAGTGAGAAAAGGCTGGGAAGCAGGTTCATTCATTCAGCAAGAGTTATTTATTGAGTGCAGTGGTGAGCCAGGCTCTGCTCTAGGTGAAGACTGACCTGGTAAATGAGCCAACCAAGGTCCCTGCCCTCAGGCAGTGACATTCAAGGGGGAAGGGCAGACAATAAACAAGATAAATATGCAAAATACAACATGGCCAGCATCTCTGAGAACAATGGGGGTTCCACACACAAGGCTTCCATAAATCCATCCTGGACTGAAGGCTGGGGGCTCGCTCTGCTCTCAACCAGACAGGCCTGGGCAGGGCCATGTGGCTGAGTTAGGAAGAGATCTCTGAGAAGCAGACTTGGCCTTACTCACATTTGGGGGAGACCAGGTCCCCTGACACCACTACTTGGAACTGAAGGCATTTCCTTTTATAACTTGATAACATCGCCATGATTCGTCACTGACTGCTAGTCCCCGGAGGTACCGCCAGTAGAGACAGCTTGTGATGTTCAGGTAAGTGCTGGCAGGAAGCTAGAGAACAGAGCTGACATGCCCACCTGCACACCCAGCCTGGGCAAGAAGCAGGCGAAACTGGACAGCAGAAAAGGTGGCAGCAGCCAAAACCAAGGGGCTAGAGGGTAAAACTGCTGAACAGCAAGCCATCCCAGTCTCAAAAAGAGCCCTTGGAGGTTTAACCACAGATGGCTCTGCTCAAAGACCACCGAAGTACAAGCTTCAACTGAAGTCAAACTGGTAATCTAAGCTGACATTAATTAAGCAAGGCTGAATGAGAAATCACATAATGTCTAAGAGAAAAATGCTAAAAAAACAAAACAAAACAAAACAAAAGACTGTGAATCAAAGGAGTCCAGAGGAGGATGGGCGCTCAGGCTGGCCTCCTGAGGGAAAGGGCCGAGGCCACGTCCACTTGGGAGCCCTTAATTATTAGCTTCTGTTTTCCTTCAGTCGATTTTTTCCTATAAAAAAAACCCTGTTAGCTATATTATAGGTTTAGTAAATTTTTCTGCTTATTGTAATCTAGAATGGAAACCACTATTTAACCAAAATTCTTTTAAAGGGACAATGGTGTCCAAAATCCAAACACCTAGTCTTTGCTTGGGGAACACAATCCATTCCTTGGTTGGGGTGTACCTATGTTTAAACAAGAAAAAGATTACAGAATCACAAATTTTTAAATTAGTAGCTTCACACAGATCTTTACTTTCTCATTAAGAAGACTGGACTTGGAAGAGAAGTAAAGGAAACGTGGTATAACTGCTTCCCTGTTAGAAATATTTATTCCCCTTCTAAGGTTTCATGATCAATATGATAATGAAGAGTCATTGACTGGACAGTGTAAGCAATTTGCCATTAAATTATGGGCACAGAAAAACCCTTAAATGCAGTTGTGACCTTGCCCGTGATGTCATGATTCACTTCTGTGATATTCCTGCCAAGAAAACATGATCACTGTCTGGTCATGAGGAACCATCAGACGGACCCAGCTTGAGGATCACCCTCTGGGATGAGAGCTTTATTCTATGAAACTGTCAGGAACACGAAAGACAGGGTAGGATGGAGGAATGGTTCCAGACTGGGATAGAATGGAGAGACATGGCAACACTGGTTCACAGGTGGGTCCTGGACCAGAAAAGAAAAAAGTGTTAGGACAGTTGGTGAACTGTGACTGGGGCCTGTGGATTGGTATATCAATGTTAGTTTTCTGATTAGAAGGGTTATACAGTGATCATGTAAGGGACATCATATCTGCAATTCTCAAATGGTTCAAAGAAGTCTCATGCTTTCACATAGACAGGCAGAGAGACAAACAGAAAGGGAAAAAGAAATAAAATGTTAAGGAGTTGAGGAATCTGGGTGAGGGGAATATTAGAGGTCTTTGTCCTATTCTTGCAACTTTTCTGTAAGCTTGAACTTTTTTCAAAATAATTTTAAAAATTTGCCCGTGACCTCGAACGAAAAAGGACCACCAGCTTTATGGGAATCCATCACCTCCCAAGCAGAAAGTTCTTTTCAATAATGAATGTAAAACTTCCGTGTTCCTGCTCTGTCTTCAGTACATACAGATGTCCACTGGTCTTACTTCTCTACTGCGACCCTTCAAACACTGAAAAATCACAAACACCTCTTGGCCTTCTAATTCCAGGCAAAATGATGCTGATCTCATTAACTCTTCTTTACAGGCCCATTGTCTAAACACATCCAAGCTGCAGTGCCCCTGACACTGACTTTCATATCTATTTTAAATTCAAGACTTAAAATAAGATATTTACCCCAATAAAAAAGCCAGAGAAAGGCTTATTGGGAAGATCATCTTAGAACTGCTGCATCTTTTTTTTTTTTTTTTTTTTTTTTGGTATGCGGGCCTCTCACTGCTGTGGCCTCTCCGCACAGGTTCTGGACGTGCAGGCTCAGCGGCCATGGCTCACAGGCCCAGCCACTCCGCGGCATGTGGGATCTTCCCGGACCGGGGCACAAACCCATGTCCCCTGCATCGGCAGGCGGACTCTCAACCACTGCGCCACCAGGGAAGCCCGAACTGCTGCATCTTAAATCTCTATTTCAGAATCTTTAAACACCCAGCCCTGAGATGTGTATCCATAGGCCCCGGTTTCAATCACCTGCACCTCTGACCTGGATCTTTCAAAGTTTTACACAGCTGGGTGCTCCTTAAAGTATAGCCACGGGGTTTAGTTTTCTCCTTGTAAGCTGCTTATTATTCTATTTTTGTCTCAATACCATCTTCAGCTTTACTCAACTAATATCTCAGCATCAATTTCTGGACTATTATGATATCTCACTCTGAATCAATATTGGCATTGAAAAAACTGGGGCTGGTTAATGGGCCTTTTCAAGGGATGTTTTTATATAATTGTAAGAGTTGATTCCACTTTCATGTTGCTACCATGCTTGTGGCACTGAACACACTGTAACAAGTCACTCCATCAGGCTGTTTTAGATCCAGTGACTGGCTTTTGCCATGATGCAGAGAAAACACTGTATACAAAAAGGAAAAAATTCAGAATATAAAATTACATCTATGTGTGAGTACGGCTAAGACAATTTGGGTTAGAAATACACCACTTACAAGGGGAAGGCCCAGTTATTAGACCAGCTAACATTGCAATAACCCACCTCTAAGAGGACTAAGAAAGGGTAAGTTGTTTTTCTCTACCATTCCCAGGACATTTTCAGACTGACAAATCAGCTGTGACTACCCGGGGTTGCAGCCTTTAAAATGACTCTAGAGTTTTAAGGAGATAAAGGTCCTTATGGTCACGGGGATTGGTCAAACAAACGAACAGGTACATACAAATACTCAGATGGGATACAGACGATAATATTCATTGCTTGCTGCTTTGCAAAACTAACAGCTTTAGACTTTTTTTTACTTTAAGGCTCATTGCTCTACTAGAGAAAAAAAATCTGTGGCCTTACTTTACATAATATTCAAGGCCCCTCATTTCTGGTGACGATGGCAGGTCAGGGGAGCTGAATGACCAGCTCAAGGTCACACAACTGTTGGTGGACTAGAACCTAGGTTTCCACAGCTGTCCTGCAGTTTTCTTTGTATCCGAAGTGACTTGCCTCTGTACTTATTAACTATGCATTAGAGTTAGTTATGGACTTTTTTTTTTTTTGCGGTACGTGGGCCTCTCACTGTTGTGGCCTCTCCCGTCGCGGAGCACAGGCTCCGGACGCGCAGGCTCAGCGGCCATGGCTCGCGGGCCCAGCCACACCGCGGCATGTGGGATCTTCCCAGACCACGGCACGAACCCGAGTCCCCTGCATCGGCAGGTGGACTCTCAACCACTGCGTCACCAGGGAAGCCCTAGTTATGGACTTTTAAAATGAAAAATGAATACACACAGTAACAAATTTGTACTGACTTAAAAATGAAACAAACCTCCAAATGCAGAACCATGAATAGGCTGTAAAATTTGACTCAAATTCCTTATATAATTTCAACAGCCTCACCTTGCTTAACAGTGAAAGCATTACATGTTAGACATAAAGTAATAATCATTACACAGAAATTATACCATAAGGACTATAAACAGCCAGGTGTTCCTAGCACAGGAAACAAAAATGATAACTCACAATTAGTTTTTTTAAAAAAATGCCATTTGAACCAGTAACATTTTAAAATTAGAACTTGGGTTAAGAAATACAAATAACTAAAGGCCTGGGGTAACTAAGCCACTCTTTTAACAGAACACAGAGCACTGTAAGTGTACCAAAGCACAGAGCACTATCTTGTCTCTTAATGAAGGCACTGCAGGAAGTGATTTTTTTTTTAAGTTGGAGGTGAGGTGAGTGGGTGGGTGAGTAGTGGTATGACAGAAAGAAAACAGGATGTAGAAAAGGGTTCAGGGGTAAATACAGTGAGAATGGTTAAGGAGGCCTCTTGCAGATGCTCTATAAATACTAAACAAGAATTAACTCTAGCATAGATTGAATATAATTCCTTTTCAAAACCAGTAACTTCTGGCTTTACCTTCCATGTAATTATTGTCATTTTAGAATCATCACACACACAGCTCTCTTCACTAAAATGATTTTGTAACTTTTAACACTCATTAAACGTTTTGTTTATCAAGAGATCCAAAAATCTATTTCCTTTCTTGTCAACTAATGAGATTTCCAACTCCAATTAATTTAGCAACTGAATAATAATTTCAACAGCCTATCTTTTATGCAGTTATTTATAGTAAATTGCTTTATAATTTTCTCTCTTTATGTGATCAAGCTGTTCTTCAGTGGTTCTCATCTTTCATGTCTTAATCAAGGTATCATGAACCCTCTGAAAGCTGGGCTTCTCCCGCTGGAAATGTCATCCCTTCGCTGGAGATCTGGCCCCACAAAAAAGCCTCCTTCATTTAAACAGGGCACATGTTTGACAAACACACACACTCTCCCGCCTGCGTTCCTGGACCTGTCATCACTGATGCAGCGCAGCTGTCAGGGTGGGATGAGAATGTGAAGAGCCGGGGAGGGGGCGTGTGGAAGGGGACCAGAGAAATTCACGGGCTGGATTGAGAGTGACAGGCAGGAGACTCCCGCTCTCACCTCTGGGCACATTCAGTGACACGGCCGCACGCTCCCGCGGGATACTGCCCATAAGGAGGTGTCTCTGGTAAACTCCGTCCTCCAGGCCCCTCCGGGAGCTCGAGGCGGGGGGGGGGGGGGGGGGGGGGGGGGGGGGGGCGTCGCGGGACTGGACCCGGGCCCAGGGGAACCGCGGGCGGGGGCAGCAGAAAGGAACAGGGGCCAGGGCTCCGGCGGACCCTCGGGCCGGCCGACTCCCCGCCCCCGCCCCGGGTAGACCGTACCTGTCCCGCAGCCCGTGCTGCAGCCGGCCCAGCCTTTCGTAGTAGTCGGGGTTCGCCAGGAGCGCGGACGGCGCGGAGGCCTGGTGCATTCCGCCGCCGCAACCACTCCTCACAGCCTCCGGGCGGCCGAGGGTCGAGTTGTCCAAAGCAACAACCCCACCATGCACCGCGGGTAGACGCTGCGCCCAGACGCCGCACGGGGTGGGGCGGGGCGCCGCGGAGGGGCGGGGGCACGGCGCCGTGAGGGGTGGGGCAACTTCCTGGGGTCGTGGCGCCCTTGGGGGGCGGGGAGGAGGCGGGGCAGACGGCTAGGAGGGGCAGGGCGCCGTGGGAGAGGGCGGGGTGCACGCCGGCGAAGAAGAGGCGGCGTTGCGACTCAGTGCCCAGGCCTCTTTGCTTCGAGGCTGGAGTCTTCTTCTACCCCAACCGTTCGGAGTTCTCGTGGGAGAGACCCTGGCCCTCCTTCGGGCGGGTCCCTTCTCTGAAGGCCAGGTCTGAAGCCGACCCCGTGATCCCCGCCCCCTAGGTAGAGGATGGAGGCTGGGCGGGAGTAATCACGTGATCATTTTTGTCTTTGGCATCAAACTGCTTTAACTTTACCAGGTGCATTCTCTCCTTCCTTCCCTTCTTACCAGTATTTGCTGAGTGCTGGGCACAGTGCTGTTTGTTTTCTTACCAGCGCTTAAAAGCAAAACAAAACACGAAGAAGACAAAATCCTCAGTCCTAAGCAGCTATGCTCAACCCTGAGAGTAGACCCCGTTAGCTGAAAGCCCGTGCTGACCCTGAGGCTGTGGCTAAGGCTGCAGATCACATTGCTGGCTGGTGAAGAGGGGGAAGTTGCCAGCAAGTTGCTTGCAAAGCTGACATTTGTGCAGACAGAGCTCAGTGGACAAACGCCCTGTACAATACTTCATCAGGGACTCTGGAGCCCGCTGCCTGAGCTCCAATCCCTTCTTCCACTGCCCAGCTGTGTGACCGCGTACAAATCACCCTCTTTAGCCCCAGGGTTCCTCGTATGTAAAACTGGGAGGCTGTTACTACAGGACCCACCTATGTCGTTTCTATAATGATGAGATTCATTAATGTGTGTAGGTGTTTAGAAGGGGTCCCAGCACATAGGAAGAAGCATCAGTTTTTATCATCATCATCATCACCAACTTGGGGCAAAAGCTTTCTGAAGAACCGTAACTGTATTCTGAAACCCACAGGGCAGGAAAAAAGAAACTATAGAATTTCTTTAGTCTCTTATTCTTCACTTCTTTTGTTTTTTCTTTGTCATTAATTTCACTTACTTGTGTGCTAGGTGTGACAAACTGGGAAATAGATCATCAGCAAGAGAGATGGGCCATTCAAAGGTCTGCAGTGTAAAATGATGATGTTACTCAGCCTTCTCTTCACATTTGCTAGGTCCAGGGCAAGAGGATGAATGGAGACCCTCATGCCATCTGTCAAAATATTAAACAATTAAAAATCAAGATGACAAATTGTAGATAAAATATGGTCCCTCCTACCTTGACCAATGTGCCTTCATAAAAGAGGAGAATTCATACAGGGGAATTTAGTTTTCTGACTCCTTACCCAGCCTTACCGGCCCCCACCCCAGTGTCCCCCTCCCCATACCAGTCCACAAGTCCTAGCTCTGTCCTCATCCCCACCTCAGCCTCCTCTTGGCCACTTCTCAGGCTGAAGGGTAAGCACACCAGTGACGGTCATCCTAGCAAGAAGGACCCAGGAAAGAGGTCTTTAAAGGCCTTGGAAAGGAGCTTAGGCCCCTTTGACCAGGGGATGTCTGGGTGATGGACACCTGGAGTGTGTCCTAGAAGGACGTGTGTGTGTGTGTGTGTGTGTGTGTGTGAGACCTCCAGGCAGGCATGTCCCCTGGCCCTGGGGCCTCCTCGCCTTGTATGGAGTGGCATGGCCAGACAAAGTCCAGAACAGGCTCTGTAACGTATAGAAGCCCAGGTAGGGCCTCTTGCCTGAATCTAAGGGTAGTACTGATGTTACTTTTATTTAGTTGTTATGTCATATTATACCAAGTTGATCCCATGGTAGTGAGCAAAGGTTTGCTTACTGATTTTAGTGCAAACAATATTTTACTACAACCCTGGCCAAAAAAATGCATGTATGGCGATATTTTATTTAGGACCATCCCTACCCATATTAGTTTTTTAAGGAAAAAAATCCCCAATTAATATAACTAATTATTTTCAGCAAATACACAGAGTAAGCAGATAAGACAGTCATTTAGCATCCAAAATTTTTATTCGGCCATTTTAGGAGAGTCTAAAATTAAATATAATTAAGCAGTAACTAGATAATTCAAAATAATTATAATTTGCATTCTTTGGTTGATTTATTAATGACATATGACAATCTAGATGCAGGATCCATTTATTAACAGTAACACCTAGCAAATTAAATGAATATTTCTAGAGTATTTATGCTAAAATTATGCGTTCTCAATGGTGACAGGCTTTTAATAAATTCAGAGTTCTTCACTTTGAATATTTAATTTGCTGGTGCACTCTCCTTTAACATTGTTCTTAAATCCCCTTATATTAGCAGAGCTGATTTCTGTAAGCAGTTCTGCTTTCAGCTCACCTGGACCACAGGCCATCAAGTCTTCCTAGATGGGCCAGGTTTCTTTTAAGCCAAAGAATATCTTAGCTGGAAGTTAGTTAAGGAATGTAGCCTCACTCTCGTATTTTTTAGAGGAGGAAAAGAGTTCAGGGCAGACAAGGGACTTGGCTAAGGTCATACAACCGGTCATTTGTGTAATATTAATGAGCCTAGTTCCAAAGATAGGTCCCTAACAGCCCCATTAAGCAAACAGCAAGAAAAGCCAATGTTTCATCCCGGTACTCATATGGATCTTAGGGTGACCCCTACGAAGTTGCTGTTTTTGTAGCTCTAAAACAGTTGAATTAATGGATGGAAAATTGATTTTGGAAATATGTTGAAATTAGCATTTTACAAAAATGTGAACACCTGCAATTTAAAGATTAAATTCTGTGTATATGAGTCAATAACTGCTTGGATATTATATTAGTTTCCTAGGCCTGCCATGATAGAGTACCACAAACCGCGTGGCTTAAACAACAGAAATTTATTGTCTCATAGCTCTGGAGGTCAAAAGTCTGAGATCAATGTGTTGGCAGGATTGGTTCCTTCTGAGGGCAGTGACGGAGAATCTATTGCATGCCTCTCCTCTAGCTTCTGGTGGCTTGCTGGCCATCTTTTGCATTCCTTGGCTTAGTAGATGCCTCACTCAATCCCAGCCTTTATGTTCACATGGCATTCCTCCTGTGTGCATGTATTTCTCCACATTTCCCCTTTTATAAGGATACCAGTCATATTGGATTAGGGGCCCACCTTCCTCCAGTATGACCTCATCTTAACTAATTAGATCTGCAATGACCCTGCTTCCAACGAAGGTCACATTCTGAGGTACTGGGAGTTAGGACTTCAACATATGAATTGGGGGAGTTTGTGGGGGCTACACAATTCAACCTATAACAGACATGAATACGGGAAAGTATTTCATTTTGCAATTACTACACGGTTTGTAGGTAGATCTGACTCAAAAGTAGAATGTGGGGGAAAGGCTGTGACGTCACATGTATGTGTGTATGTAGCCCCACCTGCCACTGAGCGTCTACACTAATGTAAGCATTTACTGCCGCATTTAAACCCCATGAGTCCTCTGAGGGCCCTGCAAGTTTAAGCAACTGGCCTAAGATCACACTGCCAGTGTGTTCTTGGCCAGTTAGTGGTAGTGTTGGAATTCAAACAGACTTTTTCCAATTCCCAAGTCCATCCTTTCTTAGCCTCCATTCTATATGGCCTTGAAACTCATCATTTGATAGTTACTGATATTTTTTATTTTCCTTGTATGAGATGTGTAAACATATATACTGTGTGACCCAGAAGGGTTTTTACATATACATAGTTCATTGTTGGGTGAAATAATATCCCTTGACCTAGGAATGCTTTTTTTCTACATGCTGTGATACAGCATTTTGTGTTCACCATTCTGTTAATTTTCCTCCTTGGCCCTTGGAAAGACTACATTTTTAGCAGTGAGATGGGTCTGTTTGACCCAGGCTGGGCAATGAAATGTGAGCAGAAGTGATGCAGCCACTTCCAGACCTGGCCCCTGAACATCCTGTACTGTCTTCCCCACTTTTCATTAGGTGGCCAGCTGGATGCAGAGGACCCAGTGGAGAACTCTGAGGCCCTGGAAGAAGAGTGAATGGCTGTAAAGAGTACAGGACTGTAACTTGGGCAAGAAATAAACCTTTATTGTGTTAAGTCACTGATCTTTTGGAGTTGTTTGTTTCAGCAGCTAACATTACTTATCCTGAGCAATACACAAGCATTCCATGCAAGAATTACACAAATGCATCAAACTATCTTTTTGCAACATTCTCAATGAGGATATATATGACTATCCAGATGGTCAAGGAGACTGCAAACCTGGAGCTCTGAGATTCAGAGTCAAGGTCTGAGGAGAGAGGCCTAGATAGCAAAGGCAAAACTATAGTGAAGAAACGTCTAGAGCACCTCTGTCCACTGGAACCTTCAGCAATGATGGAAATGTTCTACTCTGTGCTGTCCAGTATGGTAGCCACAAGCCACATGTGACTGTTGAGCACTTTAATGTAGCTACCACAACCCTGGAATTGAATTTTAAATTTCATTTTATTTTAACTTGTTAAAATTACAATTGTAGAGGACATGTATCTACTGACTCCTGTGTCGAACAGTGAAGCTCTAGAGATAAAGTAGAAAGATGGTTAAGCATGGTGGGGGAGAGGAGGCGGTCATGAGTCACCAGGAAGTAGAAAGCAGGAGCTAGAAGGTGAGATACCATCATTGGTGGGAGGTTATAGTGATCAGGAGGAGAGGTGTGATTGTTAATTTTATGTGTCAACTTGCTTAGGCCATGGTGCCCAGTTGTTTGGTCACATACCAGTCTAGAAGTTGCTGTGAAGGTATTTTTTAGATTTCAATCACTAGAGTTTGAGTAAAGCAGATTGCTCTGCATAATGTGGGTGGGCCTCATCAAATCAGTTGAAGGCCTTCAGAGAAAAGACTGAAGTCCCCAGAAGGAAAAGGAATTCTGCCTCCAAACTGCCAGTGTTCAGACTCCAGACAGCAGCATCATCTCTCACTGAAATGTCCAGCCTGCAGGCCTGCCCA